GATCGACTTGACCATCTGGTTTGAACTTTGTTTTGTAAACCCATTTTACACCAATTGATTTCTTTCCCTGTGGTAAAGAAGTTAGCTCCCATGTTTTATTTTTAACTATTGAATGAATTTCTTCATCCATAGCACGAATCCATTTATCATCTTGAGCTGCTTCTGCAAAAGTTAGAGGATCACAATCTGCAAATAATGCAAAATTTACTAATTCCTCATCAGAAACATCATTATCATTGGTTATGATATAGTCTTGCAGATGAGCTGGCATAACACGCCTTCTAGCTGAATCATGATGCACTTCAATATGAGCCAAAGAAGAAGAAGATTGATCTGTAGTGCTGGAAATCTGAGTATTAGACTGTACATTGCCAATATTAGGTTCATCCAGAATAATCCCCACATGCTGCTCTTGTTTACTTGTCCAAGCCCAAGCATTAGTTTCATCAAATTCTACATCCCTGCTTACAATCACTTCACCTCTTTTTGGATCAAACAATTTATATCCTTTAGTTGTATTACTATAACCAAGAAAAATGCATTTTGTACCTTTACCATCAAATTTTTTTCGTTTCTCAACTGGTATATGAGCATATGCAACGCAACCAAAGACTCGAAGAGCTTGAACATCCGGTTTATGGTTGCTCCATGCCTCTTCAGGTGTCATATCACGAACACTTTTTGTAGGACACCTGTTTAAAATGTAAACAGCACATGCCACTGCCTCTGCCCAAAATACTTTTGGTAAATTTTTTCTTTTCAACATACTACGTGCCATTTCAACTATTGTCCTGTTCTTCCTTTCAGAAATCCCGTTCTGCTACGGTGTATAGCTCGCTGTAAGTTGATGCTTAATTCCATGAATTTTGCAAAAATCAAAGAATTCATTGGAGGTGTACTCCGCCCCTCTATCTGTACGAAACACCTTCAAAGAACAACCACTTTGTTTCTCCACATAGGCTTTGAAGCCTTTAAAAATATTAAACACTTCAGACTTATGTTTCAAAAAATAGACCCAAGTTCTCCTGCTGTAATCATCTATGAAAGTGAGAAAATAGCGATTACCTCCATGTGATTCAGTCTCCATTGGTCCACAAACATCTGAGTGCACAAGTTCTAGCAGTTGGGTTGCTCTTCGAGACTTGCCTACTGGAAAATGATCCCTGTGCTGTTTTCCAAGAACACAACATTCACACAACTGATTAAAATTTTCTAACAATGGCAGCCCTGTAACCATTTTTTTATTTGCTAATAACTTTAATCCATTGAAGTTCAAGTGACCGAAACGCAAATGCCATAGCCAATTAGTATCAAAAAGGGCAGCAGAAAAAGAAAATACTTTTTCAGCTTGAAATGATAAAGGAAACATGCGATTTTTAGTCATCTTAACTTCAGCAACATGTTCATTTTTCTGATTCATAATAGTGCAAACTCCCTTGTCAATTGTGATTTTAAGCCCCTTTTCAGATAGTTGTCCTAAACTCAATAAATTCCAGTGCAGACTAGGAACATAAAATACATCAGAAATATGCTCATATGAACCATCTTTTAGTTGTATCAGGATTTTGCCTTTTCCCATAATTGATACCTTAGCTTTGTTTCCAAAGTTTACTTCTCCAGTCACCGTTTCAACCAACTGAGAGAATAATTCCTTCTTCCCACACATGTGATTACTACAGCCTGTATCCAAATACCATTCTACAAGACTATCTTCTGAAGAAGTAGTGCAAGCTAACAAGAGGTTTTCTTTCTCCTGTACCTCATCAGCATAATGAGCATGCTCAAAAGTTCTTTTATGCAATTTAACTCTACATTCAGATCGATAATGGCCATATTCCTTGCAACGAAAGCATTGAATTTTGGACTTGTCAACATACGTTTTATTTCCAGAAGTGCGTTGGACATAATTCCTTTTCTCAAAGTATGTAGTACTTGTAAGTCCTTTTCCACCATTGGGACTATCATCAGAATTGCTTGAGCTTGTCAAATTAACCTTGCTTTGAAACGCTTGTTCCACAACATTTATTTCTCGGCTATTCATTCTATGTTCATGAGAACACAATGAACTCTGTAGCCCTTCAACAGTCAGGGTTGAAAAGCCCCTTCCTTCTTCAATTGCAGTAACCACATAATCAAAACGACCAGTTAAGGATCTTGCAATTTTTTCAACAACACGCAATTCATCTAATTTTTCACCATTAACCCGCAATTGATTAACAACGGACTGAACTCGAGAAATATAATCAGAGACAACTTCAGAATTTTTCATTGAAAGAGATTCGAATTCACCTCTTAAGGTTTGCAACCTTACACTTTTCACCTTTTCATCACCTTTGTAGGAATTTTGCAGCATCTCCCATGCCTCTTTAGCTGTAGTTGCATTGGAGATCTTCTCGAAGACGACCTCATCTACAGATTGGTAAAGGAGAAATAAAGCCTTCTTATCCTTCTTCCTGTTCTCCCTCAAACTGTCCTTCTGACCTTGAGTAAGAGCTGCTGCAGCTTGATCCGCTCGTTCTGTAT